TCTAGCCATACAGGGGGACATGAAGTCTAGCCATACAGGGGGACATGAAGTCTAGCCATACAGGGGGACATGAAGTCTAGCCATACAGGGGGACATGAAGTCTAGCCATACAGGGGGACATGAAGTCTAGCCATACAGGGGGACATGAAGTCTAGCCATACAGGGGGACATGAAGTCTAGCCATACAGGGGGACATGAAGTCTAGCCATACAGGGGGACATGAAGTCTAGCCATACAGGGGGACATGAAGTCTAGCCATACAGGGGGACATGAAGTCTAGCCATACAGGGGGACATGAAGTCTAGCCATACAGGGGGACATGAAGTCTAGCCATACAGGGAGACATGAAGTCTAGCCATACAGGGGGACATGAAGTCTAGCCATACAGGGGGACATGAAGTCTAGCCATACAGAGGGACATGAAGTCTAGCCATACAGGGGGCACGAAATCTAGCCATTCAGGGGGCACGAAATCTAGCCATACAGGGGGACATGAAGTCTAGCCATACAGGGGGCACGAAATCTAGCCATACAGGGGACACGAAGTCAAGTTCGCAAGCACTGGGGAACTTTGGATACATTATGAGGATATCCTCAATTACACAGCCCCAAGTACGTCTCATACTGACAGGTGTGAGGGACCCAGTGACTGGGCACTCAATACTGGTAGTGTGGGAGATCATGTCGAAGTTCCTGCTCACACAGTTTGCACCACCTGGAGTCCTCAGGATTGGGAGAGCCGTCACCTGTAGCCACCTGCCTCAGGTAACGGTAATCACATGTATAGTCACCTGCCACAGGTAACGGTAATCACCTGTATAGCCACCTGCCACAGGTAACGGTGCTCACCTGTAGCCACCTGCCACAGGTAACGGTTATATCATGAGGCTACCTTGAGATGATTTCGGGGCTTAGCGTCCCCGCGGCCCGGTCCTCGGGATGGAGAACCAGTTTGAACACAAAAACTATATTTAATAAATAACTTCTTGATAGAAATCACCCAAACCACTGATCAAAAAAAAAAAAATGTGTTTTAACCTAAACAAAATTGTGTTTTTGTGTAAATATTTGTACAGAAAATATAACAAAGGGCAGTTGCACAATCAGCATCGTTCTCAGCAGTCAATTTAAATGATGAATGTTTTGATGAGAACTAGAGGACGATGAGACACAACAGTCGACCAGTTATCATCACCAGACAGTGTGGCTAAATGGGTACTCCTCTAGGCCCTATTTTGACTAATGCTTTATACCAGTTAACGTGATGAATATGATGCTTTATACCAGTTAATATGATGCTTTATACCTGTTAACGTGATGAATATGATGCTTTATACCAGTTAACGTGATTAATATGATGTTTTATACCAGTTAACGTGATGAATATGATGCTTTATACCAGTTAACGTGATGAATATGATGCTTTATACCAGTAACGTGATTAATATGATGCTTTATACCAGTTAACGTGATGAATATGATGCTTTATACCAGTTAACGTGATTAATATGATGCTTTATACCAGTTAACGTGATGAATATGATGCTTTATACCAGTTAACGTGATTAATATGATGCTTTATACCAGTTAACGTGATGAATATAATGCTTTATACCAGTTAACGTGATGAATATGATGCTTTATACCAGTTAACGTGACTAATATGATGTTTTATACCAGTTAACGTGATGAATATGATGCTTTATACCAGTTAACGTGATGAATATGATGCTTTATACCAGTTAACGTGATTAATATGATGCTTTATACCAGTTAACGTGATGAATATGATGCTTTATACCAGTTAACGTGATTAATATGATGCTTTATACCAGTTAACGTGATGAATATGATGCTTTATACCAGTTAACGTGATTAATATGATGCTTTATACCAGTTAACGTGATGAATATGATGCTTTATACCAGTTAACGTGATGAATATGATGCTTTATACCAGTTAACGTGATGAATATGATGCTTGATACCAGTTAACGTGATGAATATGATGATACCAATTAACGTGATGAATATGATGCTTTATACCAGTTAACGTGATGAATATGATGCTTTATACCAGTTAACGTGATGAATATGATGCTTGATACCAATTAACGTGATGAATATGATGCTTTATACCAGTTAACGTGATGAATATGATGCTTTATACCAGTTAACGTGATGAATATGATGCTTTATACCAGTTAACGTGATGAATATGATGCTTTATACCAGTTAACGTGATGAATATGATGCTTTATACCAGTTAACGTGATGAATATGATGCTTTATACCAGTTAACGTGATGAATATGATGCTTTATACCAGTTAACGTGATGAATATGATGTTTATACCAGTTAACGTGATGAATGATGCTTTATACCAGTTAACGTGATGAATATGATGCTTTTATACCAGTTAACGTGATGAATATGATGCTTTATACCAGTTAACGTGATGAATATGATGCTTTATACCAGTTAACGTGATGAATATGATGCTTTATACCAGTTAACGTGATGAATATAATGCTTTATACCAGTTAACGTGATGAATATGATGCTTTATACCAGTTAACGTGATGAATATGATTTATGCCAGTTAACGTGATGAATATGATGCTTTATACCAGTTAACGTGATGAATATGATGCTTTATACCAGTTAACGTGATGAATATGATGCTTTATACTAGTTAACGTGATGAATATGATTTATGCCAGTTAACGTGATGAATATGATGCTTTATACCAGTTAACGTGATGAATATGATGCTTTATACCAGTTAACGTGATGAATATGATGCTTTATACCAGTTAACGTGATGAATATGATGCTTTATACCAGTTAACGTGATGAATATGATGCTTTATACCAGTTAACGTGATGAATATAATACTTTATACCAATTAATGTGATGAAATTAAACTGAGTGAGACACTGTCACCTGCCTCCCCCCCCCCCCCACACACACACACACACACACACACACCTGCCTCCCACACACACACCTGCCTCCCTCCCACTCATACTCCCACACACCTGGGAGCATTCTTCTGCCGCCCACCTGTTTAAGACGGGCAGTGACATCAGACTGTGGGGGCAGCGCTGCGGCCTCTCCCACCCTTGTTTTGGTGAGGGGGGGGGGGGTTAGGGGGGAGAAGAGGGGGTGTTGGAAAGGGGGGGAAGCTGATCCCTACCCCCTCCACCCCCCCCCTTTCACTAATCACTTTGCACCCCCTTCATTGTCGTTCATACACTTCCTTCACTTTGGTTAACTGACAGGTTGGGGTCAAGCTGGCCTACTGACAGCTTGGGGTCACGCTGGCCCACTGACAGCTTGGGGTCACGCTGACCCACTGACAGCTTGGGGTCACGCTGGCCCACTGACAGCTTGGGGTCACGCTGACCCACTGACAGCTTGGGGTCACGCTGACCCACTGACAGCTTGGGGTCACGCTGACCCACTGACAGCTTGGGGTCACGCTGACCCACTGACAGCTTGGGGTCACGCTGACCCACTGACAGCTTGGGGTCACGCTGGCCTACTGACAGCTTGGGGTCACGCTGGCCCACTGACAGCTTGGGGTCACGCTGACCCACTGACAGCTTGGGGTCACGCTGACCCACTGACAGCTTGGGGTCACGCTGGCCTACTGACAGCTTGGGGTCACGCTGACCCACTGACAGGTTGGGGTCACGCTGACCCACTGACAGCTTGGGGTCACGCTGGCCTACTGACAGCTTGGGGTCACGCTGGCCCACTGACAGCTTGGGGTCACGCTGACCCACTGACAGCTTGGGGTCACGCTGGCCTACTGACAGCTTGGGGTCAAGCTGACCAACTGACAGCTTGGGGTCACGCTGACCCACTGACAGGTTGGGGTCACGCTGGCCTACTGACAGCTTGGGGTCAAGCTGACCCACTGACAGCTTGGGGTCACGCTGACCCACTGACAGCTTGGGGTCACGCTGACCCACTGACAGCTTGGGGTCAAGCTGACCCACTGACAGCTTGGGGTCAAGCTGACCCACTGACAGCTTGGGGTCACGCTGACCCACTGACAGCTTTGGGTCACGCTAGCCTACTGACAGCTTGGGGTCACGCTGACCCACTAACAGCTCGGGGTCACGCTGACCCACTGACAGCTTGGGGTCACGCTGACCACTGACAGCTTGGGGTCACGCTGGCCTACTGACAGCTTGGGGTCACGCTGACCCACTGACAGGTTGGGGGTCACGCTGACCCACTGACAGTTTGGGGTCACGCTGGCCTACTGACAGCTTGGGGTCACGCTGGCCCACTGACAGCTTGGGGTCAAGCTGACCCACTGACAGCTTGGGGTCAAGCTGACCCACTGACAGCTTGGGGTCAAGCTGACCCACTGACAGCTTGGGGTCACGCTGGCCTACTGACAGCTTGGGGTCACGTTCACCAATACGAAAAGATTTCGTAAGTAAGATTTCGTAAACCCGTACGAAAGATGTACGGGTTTCGTAAAGTGGTTGTTTAAATACTAGTCGAATACGTGGTCCTTGTGTGACAAATCTATAAAATCATCGGATTATCGGGGAATTGAACTCTGACCTGGAAATTTGATGTCTTGTCACTCGAGCAACCACAGGCCTCCTTGCTAGTGGTGATCGTCTCGACATTTAATTTTTCAGACCCGCGTTCGCATCCCACGATATGACTCCAAATGAATGGAACGTTATATATCATCTTGGCGACACCGAGCCGATAATGAGCTCTACGCTGTACTGTCACAAGGTTGATGGTGTATGGTCACTATACGTCCGATTGTGTCATTATTACTGCCAGGTGGGGCGGGGGGGGTGTTGGTGGGTTGGGGGGGTGTAGGTGGGGTGTAGGGGTGTGGGGGGGTGTAGGTGGTGTGGGGGGTGTAGGTGGTGTGGGGGGGTGTAGGTGGGTGGGGGGGGGGGGTGTAGTAGGTGGGGGGTGTAGGTGGTGTGTAGGTGGGTGGGGGGTGTAGGTGGGTGGGGGGGGTGTAGGTGGTGTGGGGGGTGTAGGTGGTGGGTTGGGGGGGTGTAGGTGGTGTGGGTTGTGGGGGGTGTAGGTGGGGGGGGGGGTGTAGGTGGGTGTGGGGGTGTGTAGGTGGGTTGGGGGGTGTAGGGTGTAGGTGGTGTGGGGGGTGTAGGTGTGTTGTGGGGGGGGTGGGGGGTGGGGGGGGGGTGTAGGTGGGGTGGGGAGTGTAGGTGGGGTGGGGGGGTGTAGGTGGGGTGGGTTGGGGTGTAGGTGGGGTGGGTTGGGGTGTAGGTGGGGTGGGTTGGGGTGTAGGTGGTGTGGGTTGGGGTGTAGGTGGTGTGGGTTGGGGTGTAGGTGGTGTGGGGGGTGTAGGTGGGGTGGGTGGTGTGGGTTGGGGTGTAGGTGGTGTGGGTTGGGGTGTAGGTGGTGTGGGTTGGGGTGGGGGTAGGTGGTGTGGGTGGGGGGGGTGTAGGTGGTGTTGGGGGGGTGTAGGTGGTGTGGGGTTGGGGTGTAGGTGGTGGGGGGGGTGTAGGTGGGGGGGGGTGTAGGTGGGTTGGGGGGGTGTAGGTGGTGGGGGGGGGTGTAGGTGGGTTGGGGGGGTGTAGGTGGTGTGGGTTGGGGTGTAGGTGGTGTGGGGGGGTGTAGGTGGTGGTGGGTTGGGGGGGTGTAGGTGGTAGGTGGGGGGGGTGTAGGTGGGTTGGGGGGGGTGTAGGTGGTGTGGGGGGGTGTAGGTGGGGTGGGGGGTGTAGGTGGTGTGGGGGGTGTAGGTGGTGGTGGGGGGGGGGGGTAGGTGGGTTGGGGGGGTGTAGGTGGTGTTGGGGGGGGGGTGTAGGTGGTGTTGGTGGGGGGTGTAGGTGGTGTTGGGGGGTGTAGGTGGTGTGGGGGGGTGGGGTGTAGGTGGGGTGGGCCGAGCAAGACCGTGTTAGTGGGTAGTGGTGGCGGGTGAGACATATGTTTTACCTCTTGGTTAGGCCATTGTGTTGGAGGCTGGACCTCTTCCTCCCTCCCTCATCCTCTCTCTCTCTCTCTCTCTCTCTCTCTCTCTCTCTCTCTCTCTCTCTCTCTCTCTCTCTCTCTCTCTCTCTCTCTCTCTCTCTCTCTCTCTCTCTCTCTCTCTCTCTCTCTCTCTCTCTCTCTCTCTCTCTCTTTTCCTCCTCCTCCTCCTCCTCCTCCTTAGGCAGCTTCCCATAAGAGGAGCTTGGAGAGCATCACCTTTCACTTGGGAGAGTTCATCTCCAGCTTACCTGAGGCTTCACGGGATCTTCCCACACATAATTACGTAAGGTGATGCTGCTGTCCCCTTTGTTGTGAGTTGTGAGCCCCTGGGGGAGCTTTATTGGTCTTTGTGAGCACCGTGTGTGGGGGGGGGGGGGTGAGTCCGGGGAGTGGGGGGTATTTATAGGTGTTGTGTATACTCACTTAGTTGTACTCACCTACAGCCGGTCGGTCGAGGGACCCGGTCGGCCGAGCGGACAGCACGCTGGACTTGTGATCCTGTGGTCCCGGGTTCGATCCCGGACGCCGGCGAGAAACAATGGGCAGAGTTTCTTTCGCCCTATGCCCCTGTTACCTAGCAGTAAATAGGTACCTGGGTGTTAGTCGGCTGTCACGGGCTGCTTCCTGGGGGTCGAGGCCTGGTCGAGGACCGGGCCGCGGGGACGCTAAAAGCCCCGAAATCATCTCCAAGATAACCTAGTTGTGATTGCGAGGGTTGAGCTCTGGCTTTTGGTCCCGCCTCTCAACCGTCAATCAACTGGTGTATAGGTTCCTGAGCCTACCGGACTCTATCATATCTACATTTGAAACTGTGTATGGAGTCAGCCTAAGGAATCACGATATGTGATTCCATATCACTGCCTAATGCATTCTACCTGTTAACTACTCTGACACTGAAAAAGTTCTTTTTAATGTCCCTGTGGCTCATTTGGGTACTCAGTTTCCACCTGTGTCCCCTTGTTCGTGTACCACCCATGTTAAACAGTTTATCTTTATGTACCCTGTCAATTCCCCTAAGAATTTTGTAGGTAGTGATCATGTCTCCCCTTACTCTTCTCACTTCCAGTGTCGTGAGGTGTGTGTGTGTATTCACCTAGTTGTTCTTGCAGGGGTTGAGCTCTGCTCTCTCGGCCCGCCTCTCAACTGTCAGTCAATCAACTGTAACTAACTACTAACTAATTTTTTTTCCACACACCCCCACAGGAAGCAGCTCCGTAACCGCTGTCTAACTCCTGGGTACCTATTTACTGCTAGGTAACAGGGACATCAGGGTGAGAGAGACTTTGCCCATTGGTTTCTGCCTGGACGCCCATTGATTTCTGCCTGGACCGGGAATCGAACACGGGCCACAGAATTAAGAGTCCTGCGCGCTGTCCGCTCAGCTACCTCACACACCTCCGTGTGGTGTGTGTGTGTGTGTGTGTGTGTGTGTGTGTGTGTGTGTGTGTGTGTGTGTGTGTGTGTGTAATTACCTAAGTGTAATTACCTAAGTGTAGTTACAGGATGAGAGCTACGCTCGTGGTGTCCCGTCTTCCCAGCACTCTTTGTCATATAACGCTTTGAAACTAAAAATGTTGGTTATATGTGAAAGATATTATCCTCTTTTTCATATGTGATGGTGCCGGAGCCTCGAAGCCCAGAAGTCTTCTTTCTTGAGGTTATCTTGAGATGATTTCGGGGCTTTTTAGTGTTCCCGCGGCCCGGTCCTCGACCAGGCCTCTACCCGCAGGAAGCAGCTCGTGACAGCTGACTAACATCCATGTACCTATTTTACTGCTAGGTAACAGGAGTATAGCGTGAAAGAAACTCTGTCCATTGTTTCTCGCCGGCGTCTGGAATCGAACCCGGGACCACAGGATCACAAGCCCAGCGTGCTGTCCGCTCGGCCGACCGACTCCTTCATGTGTGTGTGTGTGTGTGTGTGTGTGTGTGTGTGTGTGTGTGTGTGTGTGTGTGAACCACTCCTGTGTACTGTTAAAAGGTTATTCTCACCTCTAGATCCGGGTCTTCCGATATTATTTAAGTGAAGAAAGCTAATAAAGTATTCCTCCTTCCTCGTGTCTACACTCAGACGGTGAATTAGTAACATTCTGGCAACTTTCATAAGTTTGACCTCCACATCAAATCTCCTGAGGTAGCGGGATGGAAGGAGGAGATACCTTCCATCCCAGTCCATTTCTCCACAGTTGAAATCTCCCATAACAAGACGTTTTGGCCACAGTCAAGTCATTACCGACTCCCGAATTGTCCTCCATAAAATCGAGGCGTTTGATGTAATGTAGGGAGGATGAAGGAAGAGGGGGAGGTGAATGAAGGGTGGAAGAAGGGATGATGAATGAAGAGAGAGAGAGCGAGCCCATGTCAAGACGCACTGAAGAGTTAGCAACAGCCCGGGAAGTCTTGAAGATTTCTCAGCCATTGTAAAGACAAGTGAATAGCCATTAGTCTAAGCGCCCAGCAGGCGAGGACCCTCTTCGCCTCCTCCTCCTCCTCCTCCTCTTCTCCCTCTTCTTCCTCCTCCTCCTGCCTCGGGAAAGTGATGGGGATATTGACTTTTAAGACAGTGATATGGGAGAGGCAAGAATTTGCTTAAAAGCGTGGGAGAGGGGAGGGGGGGATTGGTAGGATTAGGGGGGATGGTAGGATTAGGGGGATTGGTAGGATTGGGGGATTGGTAGGATTGGGGGGGATTGGTAGGATTGGGGGGATTGGTAGGATTGGGGGGGGGATTGGTAGGATTGGGGGGGGGATTGGTAGGATTGGGGGGATTGGTAGGATTGGGGGGATTGGTAGGATTGTGGGGATTGGTAGGATTGGGGGGGGGGATTGGTAGGATTAGGGGGATGGTAGGATTGGGGGGGATTGGTAGGATTGGGGGGATTGGGGGATTGGTAGGATTGGGGAGGGGGATTGGTAGGATTGGGGAGGGGGATTGGTAGGATTGGGGAGATGGGGTTTCTGGATACAGGATGGAGGCCGTACTTGACAAGGGACGAGAGATGGATAGGGATGACGCCGATAGGAGGGGGGTGGGGGACAGATTATGGTGGAGAAGGATTGGGGGGTGATTAGATGTAGTTGATTATGGTGAGGGAGGGTGGTGGTACTAGGGGGGGTGTTGTGGTGGGTATATAAGGGAGGGGGGAGGAATGTTAATAGGGGGTGGTGGAGGGAATGGTTAAAAAAAAGATATGCAGGTTTCGTAAGGGGACATGTAATTACTCGATGAATCCTTTGTGTCTAACCTACGCTTGAAACACTACAGCAACCCAACATCTAACCGGAAATTTTGTTTCATCAATTTCCACTCATATTTCACAAACCAGTATTTACCCAGGTCTTTCCTGAATCTAAACTTATCCAATTTATATCCATTGTTTTGTGTTATATTTTTGTTTGAGATATTTAAATGTCTATTTATATCCACTTTGTTATACCCATTGAGCTTTATAAGTCTGTCATTATAGGATAGGAAATAATCCTGTTCTTATGGATTATTTCCTTAAACTTTATAATCCTTGGAAGTTATCCTACTTCCTAGGATTAATTTTGTCATCGTTCACCACAAGTGTTCAAAGTGACTGTGTTCATTCTCGGGTATGGCTATCTTCCTTTTGAGGTTATCTTGAGATGATTTCGGGGCTTTAGTGTCCCCGCGGCCCGGTCCTCGACCAGGCCTCCTCGTTGCTGGACTGGTCAACCAGGCTGTTAGACGCGGCTGCTCGCAGCCTGACGTATGA